CAACAACTGATGAGTTGACGTTGCGAGTTTTCGAGAGAAAAGTTCTGCGAAAGATTTATGGTCCTTTGCGCGTTGGCCACGGCGAATATCACATTCGATGGAACAATGAGCTGTACGAGATATACGACGACATTGACATAGTTCAGCGAATTAAAAGATAAGAACACATCATATACAAGGTGTGTTCCAAAGTAAACAGGACTTACAAAAAAAAAAAAGACAAAAAAAACTTAACAAATGTTTTTTTTTTTCGGCAAAATCAATTTATTTTCCTGAAAATAGTCTCCTTCTGCTTCAATACAGCTGTTTTCACACCGTGCCATACCAGGTGGATATGGGAAGTGGTTAATGGTTAAAGTGTAATTTTCGGTCAAATCATCGTCCTTCGAATGTTGGATTCTGAACAATTTTTGGTGGTCAGTCAATTTGTGTGGAACAAACCGTGCACAAACCCAAATGTTCGATCAAAATGCAATAAGTCGATGTTTTAGAGATGTTCAATTCCATTTTTATGAATTTCAATGATGATTTCGACTGACGTTTGATGAATTCACGCGCAGTTTCGATCACGTATGATCACGGATTTGTTTGGCCCACATGCTGACACTCATTTATGTCCTCACGACTACTTCGAAAACATTGAAACCACTCGTGAACTCTGCTACGGGATAGGCAATCATCGCCATAAACTTGTTTTATCAATTGAAACGTTTCGGTAAAAGTTTTACCAATTTTAAAACAAAATTTAATGTTGGCTCTTTGTTCAAAGGGAAGTCCAACTTATTACAGTGTTAGAGCGCCTCAAAATTACTTTTGTTTTTAATAATATTTTCCATTATAGCCGGATCGGACAAGATAATAATTTTTGATCTTAATATTGCCATCAGCTAAAAAGATATATAATACTCAAATAAATAAATTTAATAATAGCCGAGTTTTATTTGACCATCAGAAGCTAATAGCTAAATCATGGACAAATAAAACGCACTTAGCTTATTCCATATATTCGTTTAAAAATGAATTGGATGGGTAATGCGGACAAGAACAATCAGCTGATAAACAATTTAGTTCGAAATTTCAAATTTGTACACGGAATATTAATATGCATAAAATATACTTATTTTAGGTATTTGAGGTATAGAATACAAAAAACTGAAAACAAGTGTTCATATTTGTTTTAATTTTAAATTAATACTCATCCAAAAAATCTGTAAATTGGGTTTGTTTAAATTTTCATTTGTCAAAATGAGGTTTCTCGCTATGCCAACTACTTTTTTTTCGGAAAACCCTTGCTATTGTGAATGAAAAAAAAGCCATAAACTAGCAATTCCTCTAGTTATATATATATATATAAGCTATGATAGGTAATGACAAGCCAACATAATTATGTTGGCTAAGTCTTCTAAACAAAGTAAGCTAATAGCTTAATTTGCTTTTAAAATAAAACACGCCTAATAAATAGTATTAGTTTAGTCCGTTTTACTACTCAAAATATTATTCCTTACGAAAACTAAACTGTCATGAATACATAGAAGAAATATTACCTCAAGTGCACCCCAATGGTACACATTGTGGCGCACTGGGAGTCTCTCGAAACCGTAACAAGAACTTCTCTGTTCTAAGTATTGCCAATAACCGACATTTTCTTTCTCTTGTCAAGAAGTGTGCATTGTACGCAAATTATGTTTGTAAACTTGTCTACGAAAATTATGTTTATAAACATTGTATATTATGTTACACTTAAGTTGCCGACAACATTTTCCTATTTTCTTTAAGCTATTTATTCTTATTACAACAACTGTTACGATTCCATCGAACTAAAATTACAATAAAGCATTAAGTTTTGATCACTCTTCGGAATCGGATGTTTTAATATACATAACTCGCACGATTAGTAGCCTACGCTCCCCTGGGCGAGAGCTGGTCCGTCCGTGTTTTACGGGACGGGTAAAGCGGAGGACAGGCCTCAGGGAACTGGGGTAGGAGCATAGACGAGGGTACACCCGTTCATGCTTATTTTGGTCCGCCCCTCTGCGCCCGATGCGCTGCTATAACGAAACAGAGAGCAATTATTATAAGAAACAACCCCCGCTACGAGCAACAATAATAGTAGTAACATCATCGCAAATGGCGGAATCAACCGAGAGCTAGCGGTATGTTTTTTTCAGGGGATACCAAGTATAGATATAACCCCTTTAAACTCACGTTAAAATTAGGTAGATCGCAAACAAAACCGCTCAGTGTCGAAAAAGCCGACAAGAGCAACATCGACTTGTAAGTTAGTATAATCATGTGTAGACTTTATGAAAGAACTAGGAGACGAAATCAAGAAGCTAACAAATACCAACCATTAATAACAACATAAAGGCTATCCTTACTAACATAGGAATATTATATGGAAAAGTACAAAACGGGCACAATAGAATGAAAGAAGGAAGGAACGGACCCTGTGACGAAAAGCAGGCCAAACGACGGACCCCACCAAGGAGTCAAGGAAGACAAAAGAGGGAGAATAGATAAGCCCACCATAGATGTTATAAAGAAAACAGAAGATGGTTAGATCGAGTTAAAACGGCATCCGCGACGACCTGATGGCATCAACATTGTGCGAACAGGAAATTTGAACTACAGCGACATTCTCAGGGCAATTAAAGAAGAATATGCTCTCCAGAACTGGGTGAAAATATAACCCGGATTGCAAAGACGATCAAAGGTGAAATGCTTCTAAAAGTAAAAGATACGCAAAGGGAGGCAGAAGCGACTATGCGAACGAGATAGGTAAACTGCTTGGTAAATAGACAAAACTCAAAACATTTATCCACGAAAGAACTGTAGTGATTTGGGATCTCGATGAAATACCTGCTCAAAAAAGGAGCTAGACAGCATTACTGCTTGACGCGAGAAAAATAAAAATCGGCTGGGTTATGCGCCAGATCAGAAAGAGCGCCCCTTGATAAGTGCTGCAGGGTCTTGGAATACGGCCATGTAGCGAAAAGTTGCAGCAACATAGTTGACAGAAGTCAGTGCTGCTTTAAATGTGAAGAAAGGTGCACTTCGGGAAGACATGCGAC